CCCTTCCCCCTTTGAACCTAGTTTAAAGGAAGGTGTCCTAGAAAAGGAAAAGGGGTGTGTGTGTAGCAGGGAGGTCTTTGTGAAATGGCTTTGATTTTGCTTAGACAAGACTCTCCTAACTCGTTACTGTCCTTTCCTCCTTGAACAGTGCTGCATGACCAGAGGTAGCAAATGTCCAAAGCCAGCTCCATCACCCAGTTGCTCCTCCCGGCATTCGCAGACACGTGGGAGCTGCTGAAGGGTGTCATGGAGAGGGAGTCTGGGACCCTGTGTCAGGTCTTGCACTTCTGGCTTTTCCTGGGCATCTACCTGTCTGTCCTCCTAGGCAACAGTCTCATCATCACTGCTGTAGCCTGCGAGCATGTACTTCTTCCTCCTTAACCTCTCCTTCCTCGACCTAGGCTTCATCTCCACCATTGTCCCCAAATCCATGGCCAATTCCCCCTGGAAACAAGGGCCCTGTCTTACTCAGGATGTGCTGCCCAGGTCTTTTGCTTTTCCCTTTTGATATCAGCATTTTCTTTTCTCACCATCATTGCCTACTACTGTTACGTTGCCATCTGCAAACCCCTGCACTATGGGACCCTCCTGGGCAGCAGAGCTTGCGCCAAAATGATAGCAGCTGCATGGGGCAGTGGTTTTCTCAGTGCTGGGCTTCACATTGCCAACACATTTTCAATACCACTCTTCCAAGGCAATGCTGTGGACGAGTATTTCTGTGAAATCCCCCCGATCCTCAAGCTCTCCTGCTCAGACTCCTACCTCAGGGAAGTTCAGCTTCTTGTGATTAGTGTCTGTTTAGCATTTGGGTGTTTTGTTTTCATCGTGCTGTCCTACTTGCAGATCTTCAGGGCTGTGCTGTGGATCCCCTCCGAGCAGGGACAGCACAAAGCCTTTTCCACGTGCCTCCCTCACCTGGCCGTGGTCTCCCTGTTTATCAGTACTGGCATGTTCACCTACCTGAAGCCCCCTTCCATCTCCTGCCCATCCCTGGATCTTGTGGTCGCAGTTCTGTGTGCAGTGGTACCTCCAGCAGTGGACTCACTCCCTCATCTACACCATGAGGAACAAGGATCTCAAGCATGCCATTAGGAAAGTGATTTCATGGATGTTTCTCAGTCATGATGACCTTCCCATCACTCTCTATAAATTACTACCATTCTAGGCTATGCTTTGTTGTTTTTAACTATCATTGTCATCATTAGCATCAGCATCATTATTATTCTGCTAATTATCATTATCATAATTGCTATCATTCTCATTTTGTGGTAATTTTTGGTTATCATGTTCCTACACAAATGTTTAGATTCATCTCACTTCTACTGAGGAATTAACCTTCTCTGTCACACCTGGAGCCTATATAAATGTATGTCCAACAGTGGGTCAGAGCTAGACTCCCTTCTAGCATCTCTGTAATAAAAAGGGATCTCCCAAACACAGTGCTTGGATACTCAACTTGTCTTCCAAGGCTGGTGCCAAGAATAGGCATGAGCAACTGCACCCCAAAAGGGCCTGTTGCTCCATGGGTTCAAGAGCAAACAGCTCATTGTCATAGTGTGACCTGTTAGAGATCAAGGGTTGGATTTAGGACTCGCCTGTTGGTGTCTGGTGACAGTGGTGATGGTGAATGTTCACCGAGGTACGTACCCAGGGCGGTCTCACATGTGACATGTGGATCATGTCCTTAAGCAGGGGAGTCTGGAGCTGCCTGGAGAGCCCAGAAGATCTCCATATGTGCCTGGGGTGGGCAGTGAATGAAGCCCCACAAAGTGGTGGAGTAACCCAAAGGAAAAGTCCTAAACCCAGGTATCTGCAGGGAAATAAGGCCTCTGCAATCACAGAGGAGGCAGTGGGGACCTAGCAGGCACAAGGAAGGGAGGCTGGAGAGTGATTTATGTCACCCTCAGGCAACGGCTGAACACATCTAGTGCCCTTGGAAGTACACCATAGTCACTTAAACCATCTGCCACATCCACAGACCTCCTGGAAAGGGGGATTAGCAGCAGTGATCCCCATCCAGCTTGAGGCCATATGAGGAGTATCAGGAGGGGGCCAGGAATGTCCAGCCAAATCAGAGGATGGACGGGGAGAGATCAGATGGGCAGTGAAATTGTTCTAGAAATTGCCTCAAATAGAAAAATGCTGGTATTCAGCTAATCCAAGGCAACGTCCGGACTGTGGGTAACCTAAAGCATGCTCATGGTGCAGAGCCAGAGTCCTTGCTGTTCTGGTGCTCCACCAGGCCTGCGAAGTGGCTGTAGAAGCCTGATGCCCCCCACTCTTTATACTTAGCGCCATCATCCCTGCTGAAGGGTGTCACGGAGAGGGAGTCTGGGACCCTGTGTCAGATCTTGCACTGAAGGAAGCATGACCCAGCAGCCAGGTGAGTTTCCTGCTGTCCCTCAGTCCCTCTGCTTAGCACATGTCCCTGAGACAGTCTTCCCCACCCCATTTGCTGGCCCATACCCCAGATGTCACCCCCAGGCCTGGCCCTTTGTATCTTTCATTTTCAGCCCTGGCCAGTCACCATGGTCCAGGTTTGGGCTGATCTTTGAAATGTGACCAGCTCCGTCTACATCGGGGGAGTGTCCAGCCCATGCCCAGCTCACACATGCCCAGACCCTGGCAGATGTCAGAGCAGGGCTGTCTGCGAACCATCCTGTCTGAATAGGACAAAGCTGAGTCTGGGCAGGGACAGAACATTGGGCAGGCTATAAGAGCAGGAGGGACATGGGGGGATGAGGCACTGAGGTCTCTTGTACAGGCCATAACTGGGCATGTTTTTGCACCCCTGAATGCACCCTGCACAGTGTGGTACCTGCACAGTTGAGCTGTGAAGCCACATGTGGGGCAGTGGAGGGATAGGGAAGGCTAGTGCAGGGATGGGAGTACTACTCACCAATGCCGAGTAAAGGTGAAGGATCATCACCTCCTTCACCCTGCTGGCAACACCCTTCCTGATGCAGCCCAGGGTGCTGGTGGCCTTCTTTACCAGGAGGACACATTGCTGGCTCATGTCCAACTTGTTGTCCACCAGGACTTCCAGGTCCTTTTCTGCAAAAGATTTTTCTGGCTGGTCAGCCCCCAGCATTTACCTGTGCATGGTGTTATTCCTGGGGAGCCCAACAATTCAGAGAGTTTGCAATCTACCTCACTTTCCACTCACCTCATCTATATTAGGCAGCTTGTCCATGGTGGTGTTTTTGGAAACTAGTTCAGTAAAGACTGAGGTGTGGAAGTCATTGAGTGTCTCGTGCTTTTTCATATCCTTTGTCACCAACGCCCCTGGCACATGCACCAGTGAGCCCACATTTTGCCTTAGTCTTCCTTTTGCTGCTATGTACTTGTAGAAGCCTTTTTTGTTGCCCTTCTGGTCCCTCACCAGATTCAATTTCAGGTGGGTTTTGGCTCTCCTAACCCCATCTTTACATGCTTGGGAAGTTATCATCAATGTCCTCCAGAAGCTTTCTGGATGGTTTGTGCCCTATTATGTTGTCCCTCAGGCAGGTTGTCTGAAGATGACCTCATCTTCTTTCTGATCAAGCAGCCAATAATAGACACCCACTTAAAGGTCACCCGTGTTGGTCTGCCTGCTAATCCTGACCCATAAACTTTTGACTGGCTTATCATCTATCCCAAGGCAGAACTTCATGCTTTCCCACTGCTCTCTCACTTAAAGGGAAACTCCCGCTCCTTGTTGACCGGTCCTGTCGTTCCCAAACAGCTTTTATCCATCCATCCCAGCACTCCAGTTGTGTGAGCTATCCCACCATGTCTCTTATCCCATGAGATCATAGCTCTGGAACTGCCCACAGACTTCTAATTCCTCCTATTTTTTTTCCCCAGGCTGCATGCATTTGTGTATAGGCACTTCAGAGAGGTGCCCAGCCATGCTGATTTCTTGGAAAGGGTAAGAGAGTTTTCACTACAATGCTGTCCCATAGACACTTCCTTATTTATGTGCATACACTTGGGGTGATTCCACTTCAGCACTGCTTTGTTGATTGTTATGCTTCTTTTGTTTATATAAACCTTTGCTTGCCTACCCCATCCATCACTTCCTCACTCCTCCAAAATTCCTGTTTAAAGAAATGTCATTCAGAAGGCAGTGCTGTGCTGCTACAGGTGACTGAGAAGGAATCTGTAATCAGCCCATAGCTTTGTATTTCAAGGAACAGCCAGTGAGGATAGAGAGAAATCAGTGAAGGTAAGAACATGCTGGGGTGAGAACAAGGTGGGGAAGTGGGTAGGATGTCTACAGCCTGCAGGGAAACAGGTACAGGTGTGGAACAGTGTAGGAGAGCCTGCAGTGGAGATGGCCGAGGGTGCTGGCAAGGCTGTAAGGCTCCACCAGAACTGAGGTGTTTGTTCCCTTGGCTATGGCAGCCACCGAGGCCTATGATGAAACACATTGTCCTCATGGCACTGGAGCCTCATTTCCTCCTTGAAACCCGCAGGGAGGCTGGGACGTGTCATACCTTTGTTCTTCGCTTGGCGTAACAAAGCCCATATCCTACTGTCCCAGGAAGAGCCCTGAGCCATGCGTGAGGGACAGGATCTCCCTTCCCCGAGGGTGGTGGTCAGGCTTGGCATTTAGCTTGATAAATACATCAAGGCTTTGCTCAGCATCAGAGCCACCTGCACAGTGCCTCTGCCTGCCTCTCATCACTGCCTCCAGTTTTCTGCAGAGTCCATGGAGAGGCTTTGTCAGTAATGGCCCTCAGTGGGGCCAATTAATACTCCAAGAAATTTCAGCATTTCCTTCCGATTTTGCCTTCTCGAGCAGTTTGTTCAATCTCCTCTCATTATTTGAGATTCATGGATTTAGGACCAAATACACCATGGGGCTCATTACAATCCCGTAATTTTCTTCAAGACTACAGCTAATTGGAGAGGTTTCAAGGGAGTAGTGAATGATGAAGATTTCAATAACCATTTAATAAGAAAGGATTTTTGCTTTTTAAGGATATTTTTATACTTTTTCACTTTACAGAAGAAGTGATAGCAGCATGCTTCAACTGATATTGATCCAGAGGGTATCCTAAGGAGGTCTGGGTGGGCAGGAAAAGCTGTCTCCTTGAGGCCAGACTCTATATCAACAAAATTCCTCCTCACCTTCCCAACCCCGCTATTTCTGTCATTTGCCCCCCTGGGACTTGCATCACTTGCTTACATCAGACTTTTCCATTGAAGTCTGCAGCTTCGGTGTGATGTTATAGCTCCTTTGCATCAATTCCCACCTGCTTTCCTCAGAGAACTGCCTGCACACAGGCACAGAAGGATTTCTCTTAATTGTCAACAAACAAAAGTTACACACAATACAATTTAATGATCAGTAAAACACTCCTTAACTGTATGCTAAGTTCAAGCTGCATCTAATGATGTCCACCTTCCACAAGGGATAGCTGTACAAGAACTTTTTTAGGCAGAGAGATAGGAAAGACTAGATATAAAAACAACGGAGTAGATTAAAGAGTAAATTAGGCTTCAGAGAGATAAGGGAAGCTTCTAACTCCCTGAAGCTCAAAGCAGCAACTAGTTGGGAGATGTCTAAATGAACAAA